GCCCAAACATAATCTTAAAAAAAAAAAAAAAAAAAAAAAAAAAAAAATTAAATTTAATTAAATAAAATTTTCGAACTTAGGAAGTAAGGTTAATCTATTTTAAGCAAAAAGAAAAAAAGGGGAAATCCCAACAATAATAGAAAACAACGAAACGAAAACGAAAATTAAATTTTGCTAATAGGACCATATATATATATATACATACTAGACCTCTGCATGAGTTGATTCAAACTTTTTTTTCTGCTTCATATACAAAACACTCAGCGTGTTGAATTTTGTAATTTATGAATATACAATTTGTTTTTAAATTTTCTGCCTTCAGATGGAAGAAGTTGAACGAATGGGAAAAGATTCAAATCATTCAAACTCATTTTGGTTATAGTTATCTGCAAACCAGTTTGTTCATATTGTTATAGGAGCACAGCAACACATACATACATACGTATGTACGTTGTACATAGGTAAATTGAAAAAAAAAAAACTATTTTCAGATACACCTAAACAAATTTTCCATTTATTTGAATTCAATTCATTTTCCCATTGTATGAATATTGTTATGACGATACCTATATCAGAACAGTATTCACTCAAATTCAAGAACTTCTAAGCCAAAATCATTCATTCGTTTTGTAGATGAATAATTCATATGCGTTTTGAATGAATTCATGCAGCCTCTAATACATACCTGTGTATATATATACACATGCACACATACGCGTATATATATGTAGGAAAAAATAGGAATTTAGGTCTAAGAAAAGTAATGAAGAGAAAACTAAATGGAATTGTTTGACTAACTAAAATTTCGTTTTGAAGTTAAGAAACCAAGTAAAGTCAGGTTTTATTTACTTAAATAAAGTAAATCAAACCAGATGGAATACAAGTAGACTAAATTACGTTAAATAATAATGAAATTAAATTAATTAAAACTTAATCAAATTAAACAAAGCTAAAGTTTAAATGAATAAATAAACCCAAAATTCTAATAAACTAAAACGAAATATATATACATAAGATAAAATAAAAACTAAAATAAAACTAAACAAAGGAAAATTTTAATTACCTAAAATACCACTAAATTACTTAAATTAATTAAATAGAATTAAATTGAATTAGATTAAAACCTAAACCAAAACGAACCCGGGACTAAAATATGTAATTAACTAAACCTTAAAAAAAAAAACTACAACGATATAATAAAACAAAATGAAGGCAACAATATAATATAATAAAAATAAAAATAATTTAATAAAATTAATGATATTATGTGAAAATAAGCACAGGGAAATATAAATTAAAACTTAGTATTATACTTACCTTAGTCTAAATTACTTTTGGTTACCTGCTTTTATTTAAGATACCTTTTGAAAAAACCCGACATACACTACCTACCTTAACTTAGCCTAAATCTAAATTGATTTAGCTCGGTTTTTTTTTTTCCTCAGCTATACTTACCTGACTTACTTCAGATTTACCTGCCGGACTTACCTTACTTACCTGAATTAAGCTTACTTTACTACTTACCTTAATTCCACGATCCTGACATACTTACTCTAGACTTAAGGAGATACCTAGACATTAAGCCTACTTAATTTTTTTTGTAATGTTAAGAACTTTTAGACGTTAGGATGGTTAGTTTTAAGAATTAGATTTAAGGATATGAATTATAAATAAATTTTGTGTAACTAAGATGGGAATGCTGACTTACTTTATTTAGGAAGGCATGTAGGCACTTTT